AGGGAAACACCAAAACTTACGTGGCATAGTTGGGCAGGAAGAGGGTGCTGGAGCAGGTGGATGACTCTGGCAAAGCATCTGTCGTCTCGGAGCTTGGGAAGAAGGTGACAAACTGGTCAGAACCAAGCAGGCCAGAGGGGCAGGAGAGACCAGACTACACACCCCTTTGGTGTGAGATCTGTCAGCCTTGCAGTCGACAGAATAACAGACTCACCCCATCTTGTCTGGATAGATGTAGATCCGTGCTGGAAGGCGGCTTCTGCCAGTGACGAATCTGAGGAAGCGGCTTCGATCCTCTGTGAAGAAAAAGCAAAGACATCAGCAGACCCTAGAGGGATGCAAGATGCAATACAGCCACTTCCAGGTATCCCCAGTGCTAGGAAGCAGTTCCTTCAACCCTGCTGCTTGCTCTCCTTGCCCCCCACCTGTTCCCCTGGCAGCAGTGACGATGGTTTCACCCAGCCAGCTCCCAGCCTGCACGCAGAGGCTGTCACGGCACAAGATACACAGGGACAGAGCAATTCACTCACCATTGGTGAAGTTGTTGAGCGCTTCCCAGAAGTACTGCACACGTGTGTCCAGTGGCTCAAAGTCCTCAAAGCGGGCTGGGAGAAAGGATACAGAAAAGGAGTCTATTAAAGATCCAAGCTCCTCCTGGATAAATTAGAGCAGGTCCTCCCTGCTCACTCAGGGGTCCTCTGCCAGTGCAGAAAGAAAACTCCAGGTGCATACAGAGTGCAAGCACATAGACCCAAGGCATGAGTGACACAGTCAGGCCCCACCCAGAAAGCACATCCAGACCCACAGCTCAGATCCAGAGAGGCTCAGATACCAGCAACCTAGGGATGCCCCAACCTCTACTCTGATATCCAGCATGGAGACAAGGGACCGCTGACCCCGTCAGCACCCAACTAAAGGCAAGAAGTATACAGGCACACGTTCTCACTGTAATAAAGGCTAATACTGGCCTCCTACACCTCTCCCTGTCCCAGAGCAGAGAGAAGACAGCCTTGTTTGCAGGGGAAGTTTTCAGCAGAACCCTTCACTTACTGAGCTTCTTCAGGGCATCAACTGTGACTTCAGGGTCTCCACAGACTTTTTTTTCCAGCTCCTGCCAGGTGAGGAGGTCAAGAACAGCTTGGGGCACCACCTTCAGCAGCCCAGCCTGCATGGCCATGATCTGTAAAGGAGACAGGGTAGGTAAGCTGTGACTGCTCAGCAAATGCTCCAAGGAAGCTGAAGAAGGGAACATGATCCCACAAAGATGCTTCCCAGTTCATTTGGGAAGTCCATGTCAGAGCAGGGAATATAACCCTCCTCTGCTGCCACAAGCCACTTTACTTCTCAGCAACTCCATGGGCCCCAGGACCTCACCAAAAAGGACTGCCTACTGTTGCACTAATGAGCACAGAGGCACTAACCATGATGCAGTTTACCAGAAACACATTGGGGGTGTATTTCTCTGGGAACTTGATAACCACTCATGATGCTACAGGACAGTGTTACCTGCTCCTTGCTCTCCTCCAGCCGGGCCTTCTGCACCAGGCGGATGAACTCCTTGCGGTCCTCGTAGCGCACCACGGTGCTGCTGCCATTGGGAATCAGCTCCACCACACGCTGGTCACTCAGCACCGTCGTGTAGGTCAGCTCATTCCCAAATTTGAACTCAAAGGTGTCTTTGTCCATGACTTCCATCACCTCCAGGAGCTTCACCTGCCCAGGCCCCAGAGGAGTGGATGTTAGAGAGATATCCAGTGGGCAGTGGTGTGCCCATGCTCCTATCTCCTACCTTCCCAGACAAGGGCTGGAGTGACTGACAGTAGCATAGCATGGGATGTGCTGCTCTACAGTTGTTTAGCAGACCCTGGGGCACTGCATGCTTGAAACATCAGTCAGCACAGTTACATCTCTGTATTAGCTACAGGTTGCATTAAATGCTAGCAGTGCCTTTTTTTGCATGTTTGACACATCACAGGAGGAAACAAGTACAACATGAGAACAGGGACATAAAGCACCACGTTACTGGGTACCCCAAGGAATAGCATAGGCTGAGCCTCCCAGTCTCTCTTACCAGCACAGAGTCCACGGCAGGGAAGTCTTTGCTCCAGCTGACCTCCTCCCCTGTTAATTGTTTCCATACAAAGCCAGGAAGAGCAAGGACCTAAAGGAAGTCAGGGATTCTGCTGAGTCTCTGTCAAAGGAGACATCCCCAAAGATGGAGATAGGGTTCAACAGTGCAGACACAAAGGAGCTTCCCTGCTCTCCCTGTCCACATTCAGGGCTCATCACAGTTGAGCAGAGACCAGGCAACCTCCACCAAGCTCCCAGCACCATCTCCCAAAACTCAGGCTGTGAGGTCTCCTAACCCTGCGGCCCCAAATCTTGCCAAACACCTTTTGCCACAGTGTGTGATCACAGACCCCTCCCACACTCCTGTTGGGCAGGTTGTAGAAGGGAGCTAACAACTCCCTTGGCAGCAAACCTCCATGCAGGCAAGGGGTTGAGAGCTTACCAGAAACTCCTTGCCCCTCAGAGCTGCTCCCATGATTTGTCCGATCCACTCATACTTTGGGAAGTCTTTACAAGAGGGGTTGGGGACGTACATGTCCCTTGCTTCTCCAGTGCCATTACCCTACAGGAGTGAGAGGCAAAAGTCCAAGTCATTACATCAGTGCAGCACAAGTGCAGCTCCTGCAGGGCCTTCCTAGTGAGAGACAATTATCCAGGCACTTTGTCAGCATATCCTAAACTGAGATCCCACAAAGCAATCGACCCAACCTTTCACAAGGAAAAGCTTCAGACCAGTGAAAGTAAGTATATCTCTGGCATGCAAGGGGACAAGGAATACACTGCACCATCAGGAACAGACAGATCTGCCTCAAACACCCCAACCAACCCACAGCACCTGGTTGGATGTGCGCACAAAGAAGGGGAGAGGCACGGGGGTGTCTGCCGAGCTGGGGCACAGCTCCTCCGACATGTCTGCCAGGCTGTCCCGAAAACCACCACCTGCAACCCCAAAAGAAGGGCATTTTTAGTGATATGAACACCCCATGTGCTCACCCTCAAGAGTAATGGAGCAAAAATGAGGAACTCTGGTCCAACCTGGCCCAGGGCAGAGCAGAAGGCTCCTGTCAGAGCCTTATGGCACCAGAGGATGTAAGACAGGAGAAATAATATTCCTGCCTGGCCTGTGGAGGACAGCCAGAGGGAGCATTATCACTGTCAAAGCTGCTATTAGTGACTAATGGAGGCCAGGTCCCCATCCCAGCAAGCAGCACCCCTTTCTTGAGACAAGAGATGGCATGACATAGCAAACTGTCTTCCCTCTCTCCTCCATGGGCAGTAACACTGGGAGCAAGTGAGAGCCTCTACAGCAATAGAATCACCCCATCAGTCCCCAGTTCTGCTCCAGAGGAGCCCTTGTGTCACACAGCCCCTACCTTGGTCAATGATGCCCTCTGCGATGAATTTGCACTCCCACCACTGGTCATAACGCAACGGCCACCTGCGGAGAACCAGGCATCACCTGAGGTGCTGCTCAAAGCTGAGGAGATGCTGGGGAGGCAGCAGGCACAGCTGGAACAGCAGGGGACTAGGGTGGACCAGCCTGGGCTCAGGACAGGACAAGACCTCAATGTCCAGTGATAGCTGCATCCTCAGTAGGAAGGTGATACCTTGGGAAACAGGGCTGATCCCGCAGCTGAGTTGTCTCCTGCCCTAGCAAACTCTCTTCTGAGCATAGGACACACACAGGTTTCCCAAACACCCATCTGTGACACAGGACATAGTTTCCAGCACTGTGTGGTCTTCTTCCTCCCTGAGACACTGCTTACCTATAATCTAGAGGCTTTTCAAACTTGTCTGAGGGTTTCAGGCCTTCATATACCTGTAACAGAGGAGATCAAGGCTGGTATCCCCTTCTCCAGGGGAACTGGTACCAGGTGAAGGCAGGAAATTGGACTAAGTCTAGTTTACCCCAAATCTTTACTGATGGAAGCTGATCTCTAAATGGTTCAGGGGCCCTTCATTTTTGGAAAGGGAACAAAGTACAGTGTTAGCCACTGTATGGAGCTTTATGGACACAGCAGTACACTGAACACATGTTAAACCTCACAGCAGTCTGGGCTGTTTGTGCACACATACAGCAGTAGATCTTTTGGAGGAGGGGGAAAAATGACAACAGGAAGATCAGCTTTGCTGTAAAACCACGACACAGGACCGTATGCAGCTGCATTATTGCTGTCACACAAGAATTCTTTGCTGCCCTTTCAGTGTAATGAAGAGTGTTAGGCTCTGCATTAGCAACATGCCACAGAGAGTATCCAGGATAGAGACTTCAACTCAGCTCCCAAATCCTTTCTAGATGTTATTCCTGGGTGTGGGATCATCAGCACATGTAACTGTAGATCCTGCGAGTCATGTGAAAAGGCCTAGAGGACTCCAGGTATCTCCAGCTCCAAGTTGCCCCTTCCACCCAACTCTGTGCAGTTCATTTCAGTTTTGCAATGCCCCACTCTCCCCAGAGCAGCGAGGACCTTTCCAGGAGGGACAGTACCTGGGTGAAGACAGCATTCTTGCAGCTGGGGTCCAAGGCAGGGTTGTCTCGGTGCTCCATTGCCAGGCGTCGGTTAATGTAGAGCCGTGGCATGAAATTGGGCTTGCTGGTCTCTGAGTCCTTCAGACACTGGGTAATGAGAGCTGTGCGCCTCTTGGACAGCAGCAAGAACTGCTTGATATGCTGCCAACAGGTACATCCAAAACATCAGAAGTGCCCAGTGTCCAAAACACATCACCTATTTCCTACCGAAGCCACTGCACTCCCCTCCCTGGGGTCACTGCCTTCCGCACAGACACATTCTCCTTGGTGTTATCTGCTCCATGTTTGCCTCTGAAAGATTTTGCTTTCTGGCTTAAGGGAGATACCAAGCCCAGTCCTCATCTGATGCTCACACTCATGATGCCTGGACTCTCCTTCACCCTCACTCTCAGCAGAACAACAGTCTTACTATCCCTCCTATTTGTAATCAAAGCAAAGTCCTCTCAACAAACAAGAATCCTCAAATGTTTTGGGTTCTATGTTAAGCCAGCACAGGAATTTCAGTGACACCAGGCCTGGAAAAACAGAATGCAGTTGCCCTAGCAATGTCCAACACACATATACTGGGAGAGGATGTAAGGAAAACAGACAACTGAAGGGACCAAGTCAGTCTTATGAGAACGATGGAAATCAAAAGCTTATTAAAGCCAGAAACAAGTTACTGGTAAAAGCCTTGCTCTTCAGACACAGCCAACTCAAAGCTGCTGGCAGCAAGCGCAGGAACAGAGTGTCCCAGGCTGTGATCTCAGAGGGGATGTGTGTCCAGCTCACATACCCAGTGCTGCTACAGTCCAACTCCTTTTGAGGGTGAAGTGCTTTGGTTTGATTCTACTGTTGTCCCATAGCTACATATTTCCAAATCAGCATTTCAGCAGGCAACTAACCTCTAAACAATATCGCCTTTCACAGCTTTAATGAACTGAGCTCAGCCAGGTATTTCCCTTGAGCTGCTTTAAAGGCAACAAGCAGCTGATGGCTTCCTTGGCCACAGCCCAAGCACAATCATCCTGCCTGCCTGAGGCCCCACAAGACACAGAGGGAATTGCTCACCTTGAGTTTGCTGAATGTGCCAACAGTGTGGTCCCAGGCTGGCACCAAGTGATGCAGGACACGCAGGAAACTAACCTCTAAACATTATTTCCTTTCACAGCTTTAATGAACTGAGCTCAGCCAGGTATTTCCCTTGAGCTGCTTTAAAGGCAACAAGCAGCTGATGGCTTCCTTGGCCACAGCCCAAGCACAATCATCCTGCCTGCCTGAGGCCCCACAAGACACAGAGGGAATTGCTCACCTTGAGTTTGCTGAATGTGCCAACAGTGTGGTCCCAGGCTGGCACCAAGTGATGCAGGACACTGTCCAGGAGCTTGATGAACCTAAATCCCAAAGAAGAAGGTATTGCCACACAGAAGAGACAGGGATCTGCGGAAGCCTAGTAAAGACCAGACACCCTCAGACACAAGCAGAAAAGTAACAACTGATCCAAACCCAACCCAGCGCCGTCTTTTACGTTGCAGAACCTTTAATACTAAAATCCCACTCCCTGGGCACTGCAGGGACCTTGCACCCCTTGCCAGGGACTCTGCATGCACTGCCCCCACACACACTGCACAGATATGCTGTGCCTGCAGCACATAAGACACCATGAACTTGAGCTGCAAAATTCCCCCGAAAGTTACCCCAGAAAGCCCACTTTGTTCCCAAATGACTCTGCTAATTTTTTCAAGGATGCTTGTCTCAAAGGGAGCCACGCAGCTTTACAGCTTTCTGCCATACTTGAGCTGAAGGTGGCACCAGTCCCTGCAGGCAATGCCACCCCACTTGTCTGTCCCCCTCCATCCAAGTACCTTTGAATGAGCACGGCCCGTCGGTACAGCAGGTCAGGGTCTGTCCCTTCGAGGCGAGGGTAGCGCACCAAGTTGGGCAGCTGGAACATGTCAGCACTGAGCCCCAAGTCCCTCTGGCGGGAGGATTTGATTTTGATGCCTCGGAGGCGAACATCAATCCCATCATCTGCCAAGGAAGATACACGGGTGATACACTAAGACCATGAGAAGGCAAACCCTCCAGCGTGGGAGGTTTGTAGGTAAAAACACTAGGAATGTGACCAGCTCCACCAGCTCTGGGGATGGACACTGAGAGCCTGAAATACCTCTGTTTAGAAGCAGGGCATTTACAGAAGAATTAAAAAAAAAAGAGTAAAAAAAAAAGAAAGAACTGAAGGCAGTGAAAGACAGGATGAAAGCTGAGAGCTGGCAAACCTCCAGGTTGCCCTGGAATTTCCCATGGTTCTTCTGCATCTCATCTAAAACAGCCCACAGGGCCAAGAAGTACAAGCCACAGGAACAAACTCTAAATGTACAGTATCTCACAGGTGCATCATGGATGTGGCCATAACACCCAGCCCTACCTCTGCACTCCACAATCCTGATCTCGATGACAGGCAGGTGTGTTGTCATGTCCTCAAGAACACACACATCCCCAATGTAGCTCCTGCAAACACAGCACAGAAGAGGGCTGCAGAGCTGTTCCTTGCCCATCCTGCTAAAATCCACTCAGCTGCTTGTAAGGGAAGAGGGTCTGCAACTCTGGAAATGGGAGCTTGCAGCAAGAACCCAGACCCAGTTGTCTACCACATGGCCTGTGCTGGATGCCTGAACCTACTGGTGCCTCCAGGTCCAGGCAACATGATCCTGATGGGTCTCACAATAGGATCAGGAGAGCCTTGATACCTCTGCTGTCTGCTATTGTAGGCAGAGTGAACCCGCAGCTCAGAAATGGAAGATGCCTGTCCCAAGGCCTTGCGCTTCTTAAGCCAGATTAGTGCTGGCATGACTGTTTAGGGTCAGGGTGTTCAGCCCCTTCAGGGGCCATGCTACCCTCTCCACCTCCATCCACTCACTCATCGATGCTGACATCATTCAGTTTCTTCAGATTGTCCCCTTCGCCCCCATACACGGCCACCCGCTTGGGCATGAAGTTCTCATCAGTGGTATCCACTGTCAGCAGGAGCTTCCTGCAGATGGAAGCATGAAATGAGGAGAAGATAACTGCATCTGAACACCCACTGCTGCTCCCCTTCATTTCCTGGTCACACTTGTTATGAAGCACATGCAGCTGGTACCCCCAGGTACCTGTGACAGTGCTACAATCCCTTCAAGCCCAGAACCAGAACAAGGGCTGAGAGGTAGGAAGCACAGGGCAAGTTTGGGCCACAATGGACTCATGCAGAGAGCAAGGGGTGCAGGGTTGGCCCCCAGTATGAGCCAGCATGCAGGGGAGAGGTGCCTCACTTGACAATGGTGCCTTTCTTCATGTTGAGCCGCACCCAGTGCTGGCCTTGGGACCCGTCACTCTCCCAGTACGTGTCAGCATGGCTGTCGGTCAAGCATGACACATTGAAGTCCTCCTGGAAGAGGGCAGTGAATGAAAGGAAGTTCAGAGGGGGTTAGGATTAACTTCCCCTTACTGGCTTCTTTTGTCATGAATGTTAGAGCCAGAGGGCATCAAACTGGCCTGTCCCCTTGGCTAGGCTGTACACAGGGAGTACAGAGTGCAAAGAATGCTGGGGCTGACCCTCCAAGGTGCTCTTGGGTCACACACAGAGCACATAGTATCAAACCCTCCCTAAAATCAGCTTAGCAGCTAATATTAGCATTTGCTTCTCAAACCACAGTCCCTCCAGGGGTCACATTACACAATATGCTGCATGACAGTCTCCAAGCTTCTCTCCCACATCCTCAAAACACAGCCCAGCCCAGCCAGCACCATTCATGCTCCCCAGCCATGAGGCACAGCAGGGCTGATGCAGCTCTGTCCCCTTGTCCCTTTCACCCACCGTGTAGGATGAGACATCTATGCTGTCCACGTACTGCTTGACGCTGCCCAAGTTCTCATCCTCCTTCCCAATGTGATCATACAGGAAATGTACCAGGTCTTCATCACATTCATAAGTCCATGTTGGGGGCACATATCTAGCAGAGAAAAGGGATTAATAGGTCTGGAGAGGCAGGAACAGCCAGGCTAATAGGTCAGGGGAAGGCAGGTCCATGTCCTGCTTGCCTTGGTCTTGTCCTGTTTTCTGCTTTATACAGGTTTATCTAGGACAAGATGGTGCCAAGCAGAGCTGCTCCCTGCTGCCTGTATTTCCCCCTTGCCTCCCCAGCCTGCAGGAGACAGCTATCTTAGCAGCCAGGGAAGGACAGTGGCTTGCACCCAACCACAGCAAAAGCTATGAAACGGTTCATACCGAAGCTTCTCTACTGCAGCCTCATCCTGCTCCATGGGCTTGGGCTTTGCTCCAAGGCGCAGGGAATATGTCAGATCCACCACCTGCTCCCATCTGAAACAACCCAGAGAAAGGGAGAGTGAGAAGATTCCAGGAGAAAGAAGGAGGTACTGGTCAAAGAGTAGCTAGAAGAGGAAGATTTGTGTTTAGAGTCCCACTGCACGCCATCCCCTACCAACTCCAGCCCCATCCATCACCCCTTCCAACCTTCTCCACCCCTTCCAGGCCCGGTCCTGCTAGGCACGTGACAAGAAGGGTGACTGAGGCAGAGCTAGTTAACTCCACACCTACCATCCCCGTCGCCACCCTCTGTGGAAGAAGTGGCCAAGCGGGCCGGGTCTCCTCTGCCCGAGGCAGGAACCCCGGGCAGCTGGGCCTGAGTGAGCAGAGGTGGGAACCCTCCCTGCTCCCTGCCGTGCGAGAAAAGACCGGGGAAGCCAGGGATGGCGACCCAGAGGGAGAGAGCGGCCGCCCCGCACCTGATGACGGGTTTATAGTCCACCCCGAAGA